GACTGTATGATTTTGAGATCCATCTTTTCACATGGAGGACAATTGGGGGACTCATACATAACTATTATATAAGGTGAAAACATTTACTAATGCTCAAGAAGGCAACACAATGCATTAAGCAAAGTGTAAACTTTGTAAATTGGATAATCAGGGTAAATTGTACTTGTTTTTTCTTCTGGGAAACATGTAAGTATTTATGTAGCTTCTTAAGTGCAGTACCAAATGAAAAAAATATGATCTTTAAACAAAATAAGAAAAATGTAGACATCATCATCCTGTTCAAAAGTTTACACCCCCCGCTCTTAATGCATTGTGTTGCCTTCTTGAGCATCAGAACATGTTTTCACCTTTTGTAATTAAGTATGAGTCGCTCAGTTGTCCTCAGTGTTAAAAGCTGGATCTCAAAATCAGTCACTGCTGGAAAGAGTTCACATATGCAGAAGATGCTGGAAAACCACAGAATGTGCAGGAGCTGGAGGATTTTTCTGAAGAACAGCAGGCAGTTGAACTGTTCTGTGTCCGTGTGTGTGAGTGTGTGAGTGAGTGTGTGAGTGAGTGTGTGTCCGTGTGTGTGAGTGAGTGAGTGTGTGTCCGTGTGTGTGTGTGAGTGAGTGAGTGTGTGAGTGAGTGTGTGTCCGTGTGTGTGAGTGAGTGAGTGTGAGTCCGTGTGAGTGTGTGAGTGTGAGTCAAATATAAAAACTGTCGTGGATCATCCAGGAGGAAATTACACACAGTATTAAGGTTCAAGGGTATGTAAACTTTTGAAGGGGGTTACTTTTATAAATTCAGTTATTATTTTGTCTTGTGGAGAATATATAAACATCTGCTATGTGAAATAACTTATTCAGGAGAGTACTAAATAAAAATAACATGCAATTTTCATGATCACTCTTATTTAGTTAAAATTATTAACATATTTGCATATTCTGCAAGGGGTATGTAATCTTATGAGCACAACTGTATATACATAACAAATATACACAGCACACACATATATTGTGCAAACAAGAACATTTATTTTGGATGCAATTAATTGCGATTAATTGTTTGCACCAATGGACACGCCTCATCTGTCATCTGTAGATGTGCGTTCAGTCGTGTAGTGTGCACATGAGCAGACACACATCCAGCCGCAGCAGAGCGTCTCAGACGTGTGTGTGTGTGAGTGAGTGAGTGTGTGTGTGAGTGAGTGTGTGACTAGTTCGATTTTGCGATCGCACGCGCACTGTGTAGGGGGAGCACGTCTTACGATAAAAGATATTCGTCAATAAGCTCGGGATCTGTTGACGAGCAAATCCTCCAACATCTTGTCAGTTTATGCTGTATTGATAAGGAGTTATCACAAAGTAAATCTGTTTAGTGGCTCTATCTTACAATCAATATATAGTAAATGTAAGTTAAAGTGTCGCCGATGTAACTGGTTAAAACTTGGAGTGGCAATGAGGTCTTAAAATGTATGGAAAGAGTCTTAAAAAGGGTATTAAATTTAACCCCATGATTCCTGTATATACCCTGGTGTGTGTGTGTGTGTGTGTGTGTCCGTGAGAGTGTGTGTGTCCTGTGTGTGTGAGTGTCCTGTGTGTGTGTGTGTGTGTGTGTGAGTCCGTCAGGCGTCACTGTGCTCTTCCCAAACCCCATCCAGCTCTCTCTCTGCTGCAGTACACTCACTCATAATGGAGCTTGTTTAGTTTGAGCTGCTGGTTCTGATAGACTGCTTAGTCTCCTCCTCAGTGGATGACAGCACCAGGAAGGTGGCGGAGAAACTGGCGCGCTTCGTGGCGGACGGCGGCACGGAGGTGGAGATCATGGCTGCTCAACACAACCGAGACAATCCCGCCTTCAGGTGAGATGCTCCTAAAGGAGATTTAATCAAACCAGACTGTCTGTGACTGGAGAAACTGAGAAGAAGGCCTGTGGCATTCACCTGTGTCAAACACCCACAATTAACTATATTTAACATGGATATAAAGAGCCTTAAACTCACCAGAAAGCGATTACAGAAGTTGTCTAGAATAGGGAGGCACTGATAAACAGAAGATGATGTTTTTTGCTCTTTCTCAGTTTCCTGTACGACTATCAGAGCGCGGCTCATCGCTTCTATAAGGCTAAAGTGGACGAGTTCCGTCAGGATAAGAGCAGCAGCGAATCGCAGACGGCCGTCTCACAGGAACACACACACACCGCCGCCAAGAGGAAGAGGAAGAGCCGCTGGGGAGCCGAGGATGATAAAGTGGAGCTGCCCACGCCAGCGCTTATCAGCCCTGCTGCTCCAGCGGCCGGATCCAGCACTCCTGCACTGACAGGTACTCACACACTCACACACGGACACACACTCACACGGACACACACTCACACACACACACACACACACACACACACGCACACACACACACACACACA